GAATGGCCTTCAATTCGGGGAATACTTAAAAGACTACGTTTGTTTTCTGTTTGCTGCTGCCGGTGATAAACTCGTCCCGGATGTGTTGCTTATTTGGCAGTGCCACAAACAACAGATGCGGTAAAACGGGCCTTTCATCTGTCAAGAAATTCTTCAAAAGTACTTTAGATAGCCCGGAGATACTCCGCGATGCCCACGGCTTACATCGATATGCTAAGCTGCAGCTGCTTTCGTCATGATTGCGGTTGAAAGCTACCAAAGTTCACGTCGTCAAACAAACAAAACGCACACCTACCTACTGCTTCCCGGAGTGGATGTATACGAAAACGAATAATATGCACGCAATAAGACTCCAGAATGCAAGGCTAGCGCCTAAAGCCTTTTTTGCAATGCACCACTCTTTGATTAAAGCTGATTGCAGTGCTTCGGGGGTAGGTGGCCAATACTCTTACGTTTACCGTCTAATGCAGAAATAAACCCCACAAAATCTAGTCACTCACCCCGGAAGTTCCTGTTTGATTCCTCTAACCAAATCACTAGCTGCGTATCTATGACGATTTTTATCTATAACGATTTTTATACTGAGAAGCCCAGACAGTCACTGATCGCCAGGCTACTAATTAAATATCTAAATCCATCCTGTCTCATTCAGTCACTTGCTGCCACCACCCTTATTGTGATAAACGTTCATTTTTTTCTGTTTTGGACTTTGCCCCGTCTGATGCCTACAAAACCCATCAGGCCTCACTGATCCCATTACATTCTCTCTTCTTCCCAAGCTTCGACCTTCGACCACGCCCGATTCGGACGCCCTGTTTGGCTGTTATTCACTCAATTTGATCTGCGCTTTACAACCAAAAGGATCCCTATACGGACCAAAAAATGCCTGCGACCTTGCAATGGCTTCGCTCTACATCAGTGGATTCCGAGGACCGACCCCCGCCCAAACGAACCCCTCTGTCCACAAAATCGCACATCCCAGCCCATGCACCTCAGATATGAACTCCGTCGCGAGGTTGTCCAGAAACCGAAGTGCGTCAGTGAAATGATGATATGGCACTGACCCAGCTTGGCCCAAACGAACCCCTCTGTCCACAAAATCGCACATCCCAGCCCATGCACCTCAGATATGAACTCCGTCGCGAGGTTGTCCAGAAACCGAAGTGCGTCAGTGAAATGATGATATGGCACTGCTATACCCAGCTTGATAGCACAACCGCAACTATCCACTTCATACTCTTGATTATGCTATCACCCACTCGTTCACTTACCTACAACTGCAAATAAACTCTTCGCCCGGCCCCAGCCGCCTCTGGGACAGGTTCATTTTAACCCGCTGAAACTTCGGATATGAATATCTCGTTGACTTTCATTCTATGCTCTTCACAGAATCAGTCATTTTCTGAGCAGACTGCGTTCCTTCTTTTGCGTTTGCACCAAGGTCCCTCCCCCAAGGAACTTTTACTCCAGGCGCCACTCCAGCAGTGCAGCTAGTGAGTCTACATTTTCAGTGTACACAGTGGGCATGAGACTTCTGTTACCATTCATCCGTATGGCTGATTCTTCTACTCAATCATCCCCGCTATTGTTTTATATGGCCCTGTGCATAAAACCAACAGTCTAAGGCCGAATGAGTTTCATCGGTAGTTTTAGACTTTAGTTCACATTGACCTATCAGATCGTGGCAGTCCAGCTACCGTATCAGATTCGTCGTTTTGGTTCACCGTATTTTGCAGTTTGAAGTTTTCTCATGGGATACCAAGCAGGATACCTCCTTTTTTCCTTCGCTCGTTTTTGCCCGCCCCCTTCAGACCCTAACGATCTGATCTTGCCTCAGCTTGATATGTCCCCCCCCAGAGAAAAAAGTAAGATAAACTCCTGGTAACTGTCTCCTTTTTGATGGCGGCTTAGGCGTGGTCAGTTCTACACAGTATATTGCCCACTATTCGTGACATTGCCCTCTTCTTTGCACAATCCCCACAAACTTTCCCAGTCGTGCTCTATTCTGGCTGTAACCGTATGATCGTTCCTGAAGGTACGCCACCCACCAGTTCGGAATAAACATTATTATTATTCGATCGAGTCCCACAAGTCCCGCTGCGCCAAAGATTCAAGGGAAAAGTGCACGCTTGATGAGGGTGTTTCTATATGACAAAACAGTCCGAGCAAAAGTAGGCTGAACCTACTATTCCCTGGCGCCAGTCTCCATTGGAGTTCGACAAGGCTCCGTTTTGGGGCCACCTCTGACTGCTATACGTCAATGACCTTCCCGATATTCTTGTCCGCTTTTCGCAGACGACTGGAATTCCTGGGGTTTAAACGCCACTGCCCCGAAATGGATGCAGACGTTGCAAAGCAGTGATCGTTTAATTGAAAGCTTTCCCTGAATGACGAAAGGTGTGTCCGTATTTCACTAGAAGACTCATCCTTTGTCGTGCATGGTGAGAATGGACCAGAGGCATCATGAGGATGGATGCCAATAAGGATTTTGTTATCTGGCTTCTTCAAACATGTCTTTCTAGCAGTACCATTAGAAATTGCCCTAACGGCATTCGCCCTTCCACGGATGATTCGGCGCATCTTTTCCCGTATTACTCGCATGGACCTCCAAGTAGCCTATGGGGCCTAAGTCAGACCGCCTCTTAAGTTGTCTACTCAGGAACCAGGAAGAACGTAACCTCCGTTGGGCACGTTTAGCGAGCTACTATGAAATTGTCGCCGGCCTTAAATCCTGTGATTATGAACTCTTCCCGTGGAGTATCCCGCCTTTGAAAAGGTCTAATTCTTACTTACTCGCGGTTTGGAAAAGCTTTGGCCAACATTTTTTCACCGTTATACCAGCAAACACACAGCGGTGAAGTAGTGAAATTTTTAGGCTCAGAGGGAACATTCTCGCTTGGCAGAATTCTATCTCCCTTCTGGTAGTTGCTGCGTGGAATAGCATTCCCCTGACGGTTTTTCATGCTCCAGCTAGAACCCAGTTCAAAACACTGGCTAGCTTACTGCCCCGCGCTGAGAACCTAAAGAGCAGCGCTACACCATTTTTCACTCGTGCCCTTCATGTGAAGGCAGCCGCTGAATGACAAGAACAAAACCGATGTGGGGAACTTGTGCGAAAGCTTCCATTCTGTATATCAGTTCGTAAATCCGTGAAAGGCTTTTCGATATGCCTCAAGAGTTTTCTCCTTAATGTGTGGTCGCCCTCAAGGGACACAATACTTACGTGCTAGTTAAACGAAATTTAGCCAACAGATTTTTCAGCGCTGGCCTAGATGATGTGCATTGGGGAACTGGTTAGATTTTTTCAATACCGGGGCATGCATTTGTTGGGAAGCAGATTTTCTTATTTCAAGCAGTTGGTGAATGCAATAAAATTCCTCAGACGATTATTCATGCTGCATGTAGAAGGCACTTCAGACCACCCTAAGATTTACGGATTCATGGATTGATACACAGGATCGAGGCTTTTGCCCAAGTTTCCCGGGTCGGTGTTGTTCTTGTTGGTCAGTGGCTGTCGTTCACCTGAAAGGCACAAGCGAAAAAAGGGTGTAGCACTGCTCTTTATGTTCTCAGCGCGGGGCAGTATGCTCGCCAGCGCGAGGATTTGCATAAATAAATGTCTAATAGTGCTTTAAATTGGGTTC